TATTTTTTTATTGATCCCTATCCCCGGCACTTGGAGGTCCAGGGCCTTGCATGGCTTTGCACAACTTGCTTTCTATGGGGTTGGGCCTGTAAAGGGCTATAGTGTATGTGTAAGTAACTACATGTAGACAAAATTTAGAAGATGGTCAACAACTATTTTTGAACAGCCCGAAACCATCCGCTTGGTGGGGCTAGATTCCCCAGAAACTCGCAACCCTAAAGCCTTACGGCAAAAGGGTTCGGGCCCCCCTGGGAACACGATGATGATCACAAGCCATGAAAAAACATAGATAGCATTCATGGCCGAACAAATCTTCAGGCTGAGACTTCGGGGCTATGACATAGATGCTTTACTAATTTACGGGGGCTTAGAAGTTAAAAAAAAAAAACTCCTAGACCCTAAACCCTAAACCCCTAGACCCTCTAAACCCTAAATCCTGAAACCTAAACCTCTGAGGCTTCAGTCTGCCAGGGATCGAGCTGCGCATTGAAGGGTTCGGGTCGAAGGCACAAGGGTCGGGTGTCTTCTTAGGAGGGTCCGGAACCGCCCAGGGTCTAGGGTGTAGGGCTTAGAGTTTAAAGCTTTTAGGGTTCAGGGTCTAGGGCTTAGGGCTTTTAGGGTTTTGGGTTTAAGGTTTGGGGTTTAGAGTTTCGAGCTTTTAGGTTTTAGGGTTTAAGGTTTTGGGCTCAGAGTTTAGAGCTTTTAGGGTTTAGGGTTTAGGGCTTAAGCCTTAGGGTTTAGGGTTTGATGACAAGAAGTGTTATGGGCTGTCTGGCGGCTGTTAATGTAGACCCCTGATCAAAAACACACCTCCCGGAAAAGCAAGGAGCAGCAAGGGATTCTGATGGTTCTCATTAGGGTTTAGGGTTTAGCGTTTAGGGTTTAGGGGTTTAGGGTTTAGGGGTTTAGGGTTTAGGGGTTTAGGGTTTAGGGTTTGGGTTTGGTGTTTAGGGTTTAGGTCATACACAGGACGGGGCGGTTGACAATCAAGGATCGAAATCAGACCCTAGCTATAGGCTCCATTATGGTTCCTTTTTGTGGTTCGTATTTAGGAATCCTATGCGGCAATACCAAAAAGGAACTACAATGAAGCCTATGGGTTTAGCCCCTTTAAGGTTTAGGGCTTTAAAGCTTCAGACCGAAATCAATGCTTGGCCCCCCGACGGTTGAAGTGAACAGGATCAGGAAGCGGAAGATCTCGACGTGTTCGGAGTGAGTTCAGGCTTAAGGCAACTACTAGGGTTTACCAAATTAACAGAGACTTGTGGCTATAGAGTTGTTGAAATATTCAACTTTAAGGCAGGGTTTACCAAAAAAAAGACTTATGGCTAACCCCAAAACCCTAAACCCTAAATCCTAAACCATGCAAAACCCTAAACCCGAAACCCTAAGAGCTGAAGGATTTTGCGATGCGGGAACTCGAGGGGTAAGGGCGCAACGTGGAGGCCTGAATACACACTCAGTGCATAGTCGAATCAGCGTTCCCTGTGTTTAGGGTTTAGGGTCTAGGGTTTATGTAGTGTAGAAGCACCCGAAAAGCTCATGGCACAAGTTCGTGCATAGTAGTAGGACCCTGGGTGTGGCATCATAAAAGCAGGGGAGCAAGCTCTATGTAGAACTAAGAAAGACACTAGTCTGCGTGGCTCCGCTCTTCGGGTACGGCTAGATTGGCTAGATAATGCCCCAAGCACATACATACATATATATATATATATAGACATGTGTATATATATATATATGTACATATGTATACAGACACACCCTAACTAAACCCTAAACCCTAAACCCCAAACCCTAAACCCGCAACACTGAAGGCTCCAAGAACCACACCCGCAGCTACTAGACCTACACCAAGTCCAACGCCGTAAACAAGCCCCCCCCCCCCCACCAACCCGGATTAGGGTTTAGGGTTTAGGGATAAAAAGACACCCCAACACCCCACAGCCCAAAACGCCCAGAACCTCACGACTCTAAACAGTCTTGATGCTAGAGACACGAAGTTCGCGAACAACCCTGCCAGGTTGTTTCCAGCCTTCTGGGCCTATTCGGACCCGAAGCTCTAAACCTTAGTCTACCCGAACCTAAGTTCTGTACGCTTACCAAAAGTTCCTTTATTGGGGGTTTAGTATACGAACCTACACTCATGGTGCTTAAGGCTTCAGGTAATATAGGGGCCTTAATTATTGGAATAGGGTTTTGGGGCCCCAGATACTCTAATTAGAAGAAGGAGCCCCTCTTATGGGTAAGTCTTGAGGCCCCTATGTTAAGCCTCAAACCTTAAACCCTAAACCCTAAACCCTAAACCCTAAACCCCTAAACCGTATTAAAGCCCTGAACTCGAAGATGCCTCCGATAAGGACTCGTCGCCCTCGTTGGCCCGGGAGGCCACCTCTCCGGAAATCCGAGGCTTGAAGATTCACGGTTCAATTCAGGGGTAGGGTTTACGGTTAGGGTTTAGGGTTTAGGGTTTAGGGTTTAGGGTTTAGGGTTTAGGGTTTAGGGTCAGGGTGTAATTTAGGGATAGGGTTTACGGTGTGTGATTTTTTAACCCTGGCTCCATCAGGACGACTTACTGACCTTCATATATACCAAAAGCACACCTGTTTCTTGCACGGAAGGTTGAAAAGGGCTACGGTGTCGTAGCCGCAGCTGGTTACGATCTGTTCAGTCGCAATGAGCCCGTCTACATGTTGCGGGAAACACACATGTGCCCAGAACACCCTGGAAGCGCGACGCTACAATTTCAGCAGACAGTTTGAAGAGTGCGGGCGTCGGCCACGATGACTTGTTCTTCGGCTGCATCAACATGCACTAAAGCCTCCATCCACAACGGGCATATTGGGAGTTGCCGAAAAGGAGGGGTACCTTATTCTGGGGTCCTTAATATAAGGATCCTACTAT